GCTGAATCGGATGACAACGACCTCGAGGACCTCGGCGAAGAATATGTTGAGCAGCAGTGGGGATAGCACACATCCTTGTCGCACGCCCCGTGTCACGAAGAACCAGTCCGATAGTTCTCCGTCGTCCATGCGCACCCGGGCCCGCATCTCCATCGTGGAATTGGCGGATGACTTCGATCAGCCTGGCGGGAATCCCGGCCCCGGCCAGCACCTTCCATAGCATCTCTCGGTCCACCGAATCATACGCCTTGTTCAAGTCGACGAAGCACATGTAGAGCGGTATTTTCTTTCTCCGCCCCAGCTCCTGGAGGCGGCGCACGACGAACAGCATGTCGACGGTGGATCGCCCGGGTCGAAATCCGCATTGTTCCTCCGGGAGGATGTTGGCTTCGCAGAAGGTGCTTAGACGGTTGGTGATGATCTTGATGGGAACCTTGCCTACGTGAGGTAGTAGCGAAGTCCCCCTGTAGTTGTTACAGTTGGACCGGTCACCCTTCTTGTGCAGCACCTTGATGGTTGCATCCTTCCACTCTCGCAGAATATCTCCTCCATTCCATACCTTGACGAGGATAGTATGGAGGTGTCCTAGGACGAAGGGTTCGTCGTCATCGATCTTGAGCAACTCGGCAGGGAGGGAGTCATGGCCGGGTGCCTTCCAGTTCTTGAGGCCTTTCGTTGCCCGTGCCACCTCCTCGAGTCGTGGCACATCTCCCAACCGTCGAGTGTCACGTGCCGCTGGCCGCTGCGTCACTCGTTCGATTATGTGTGGGTTCAGGGTGGGGGATTTGGTGTTGAGTAGGGTGCTGAAGAATCTCGCCCACCGCTGGAGGATGTCGTCCCTGTTCCGGAGCAACACGCCGTTCTCATCCGCGACGAACTGCTGTCCCCCCGCTTGTCTCCCGCTGAGGCCCACTGATCTCTTGAGGTGTTGGTACAGTCCTCGCATGTCGCGATCTTTGTAGATTTCTTCGAGCTCAGTCACATATCCGTCCAGGTGGGCATAAATGCCCGTTTCGACTGCTGTAGCCACTCCCTTACACGCTGCTTTGAGAACCGTCCGCGTCGCTGAGTTCCAGTTGCCCCTCATCGCCCGGCGCGCTTCCCGACGTTTGGTAAGGGTCTGCTCCAGCGCTGCTCGCGTCTCTGGGGTCTCACACCACTCCTGCGTGCGGCGTCTCCGCGGTTCCTCCCCCAGGGTCGTCCGCGCTGCGTCGAGGAGAGCATTGGTAAAGTCGGTCGCCAATTCCGCGGCGGTGGTTGTTCGCTCGTCCAGTCGTGTGTCGAGGTTGAGGAGGAACCGATTAGTCACCGCACACCGTGCTGCTTCGAACTGCAATTCCCGTCGGTTGAATTGCTTCTGTTTCGGTTTAGTCCGGACTGCACGGTTGTGGGCAAGCCTGCCACCGAGGTTGACGGTGGCTACTACCATATTGTGGTCTGAGTCTGCTTTGACTGGGCGAACCGGCTGGGGGATGACGACCACGTTAGATACTCGGCCGTGATGTGCCTGCCTTGTCAGGATGTAGTCAAGGCGCTTGCAATCGTTTCCCGACACACCGTTGTATGTGTGCCATATTCCGCCCTTGCGTGTCTCAAAGAACGTGTTCGTGAGAGCTAGCCTGTTTTCCGTTGCGAAGTTCAACAGTAGCATGCCATTGTCGTTGAGCTCATCACGCCCGTACATTCCTATTACCCTTCCGTCCCCTCCGTCCAACCTATCTCCCGTCCGCGCGTTGGCGTCCAGTAGGACATACACACATTCTTTGGAAGGGATCCTCCACACGAGACTGTAAAGTTTTCCCCAGAACACGCGCTTGCTGTCGGCGGTTGAAGGTTGGCATACGCGGCTCCGAAGTTGACCACTCCACGGTGGCCTGCCAACAGAAACCCATGGCCATAAGGCGTTCGTCAGGAAACTCCGTAGTGAACGTGGATGTCTTTCACAGTGACTCTTTGACGGCTATCCCCACACCATGGACTCCACCAGTCTCCGTGCCACAGCAGAACACCCGATAACCCGCTGCTGCAAAATTCGGTTCGACCTGCCCTCCGTGTCTCCTGCATTCCTACCACCGATACGTCTTGTCTCGATGCCTCGTGTAGAACGCTGTAAGCTCGCCCGTATCCATTGGCCCCCTTAACAGCCAAAGTCCGCACATTCCAGGTTGCTACCCTATAAAGTTGACCCTGCTGTCTCTTTCGCGCGGCGCGCGCTGCTCTCTTAGGTAGCCTACGCGCCGCCCGACCCCTCCTTTTCCTTCATCTTCCCCTCTATTTTTGTGTTTTTTGCTATTTTCTTGCGAACACTCGGGCTTACGTGATAGTTACCCCGGTTCTTGCCTTGTTTCCCATAGAGTTGTCTTCTTGTCCCGGAGCGGTGTGGCCCTCCATCTCTGGACTCTCTACTTTCCTCGCTCTGGGGCATACCCCCACGGCGTGCGGTCACTCCGCAACCCTCACCGTGCTCTCTGCTGCTGCATAGCCCCGGTGTCCAAGCCGTGGCGTCAGGATCCAGTCTCATTGTGCAGCTACCAATGCTGGCGGCTCACGAGCTACCCCGATCTCACGACAGCAGTAACTCCCTACCGCCAAACTCAGCATCCCCCTCGCAACAGTGCTAGGGACCGTATATCCGTCTTTGCTGGATGGTCTCTCGAGGTCTAGATCCACTTGCGGAACCTCGGCCTACCCCAGGGACGGGGGGGGCAGGCCGGGGAGAGCGATGTATGCATACAAAAGCTCTTGTGTCTCATTTCGCTCATACATCCACTTGAGCTGGTCATGGACGGTGTTGGCCTGGAGAACCCCCTTCGTCGTTTCGCTGGAGTCTTATTGTTGTTGTGGCGGGAAGTACGTACGTACGCACGACAGCAGGAGCAGTAAGCTGCGGCCTACCAAATGGTTGCATCTTTCCCGCATTATCGCAATGTCGGCATATTTTGATTTCGTCACGCAAAAGGGTACCTGCGGGATGTGCCGCCTTGCGCCTGTCCGAAGAACCATAAAACTGACGGCAGCAGTGCGTCTTGACGGCAGGCGACCGATACACGTACATGAGGTCTTGCATTAGGTATGTAGGCTTGCACGGATGCGCCCCCGAGGGTAAAGTTGCATGTGTCGTGTGCCGATGTGCGGAGACCACCCGTTTCGACCAAAGCGGTGAGTACCCGCGGGTTGCCGTATCATGGTACTGCTCCGGCTACATGAATATTTGGTAGGTCATATAGACTTGACTGCAACACCAAGTCTGGGTCGTGGAAGAGCCAAGGAGCGCCCGTCTCTGATTGGGTGAAAAGTATTCTCGCCGTGGACGCTTCATGTCCTTGGGCGCGACGTCCGTGGCTCACAGCCGGATGCAAAGTAAGAGTTGTCTGTTGTCGGTCTACTTTTATGTTATATTGGGTGCTAAGAAGGATGAACGTACAGTTTCCTGTCTTTGTCCGCAGGTTAGGCCGCGTATCCCGGTTTCAGGAGTGCATATTTAGGCTGTTCCTACATGCGTGGGCTGTGTTTTTTTTTCTCTCGTTTAAAGATGTATATCAACCATCAACGATGTGCACAGAATCCATACCACTACAAGGCTGTTTGGCGGCCTACGCCGCCACGCTGAGAGAAGCGTTCCGCAAGATGCTTGTATCGGCCTATTATTTAGTCTTTGTACACTTCTGGTCATTGTTGTTTGTATTGGTGGGGCAGTACGGAAGGCGTTCGCGTCAGTTGGACCAGTACGGACATTGGAAGAAAATGAGCGGAGACCGGAACGGTTTTCAATGTGAAGACAACAACTAAAACAATTTTGTGTTTTTCGTTGGTTGCAACACAAACGTCGGCATTTTCCCTAGCACCGGCCATGAACATCAGGCGTCCATTCGCCGCTTGCCTGTTCAATCCACGACGCCCAGCTATCAAATAAGCAACCAGCTGTGCCTTCTGTTTTTTTTTGTACGATGCCTACCTCTCTCGCTCTTCCGTTTTCGCCGTTGATACGATGAGGGTACTGACACCGCTGTCTGAGGGCCGACACGGCTTGTAGCTGCACTTGCCGTACTCTCTCGTGTGTTCTGTAAAGGATCCGTTTCTTGTTTGAGGGTGTTTTTTCTCTCTGTTTCTCTCTCTCTCTCTCTCTCTCCTCTCTCTCTCTCTCTCTCTCTCTCTCTCTCTCTCTCTCTCTACGTCTGAATGTTTGTCGTGAGATGCACGTGGTGCCTCCGTGCCTTACTTTCCCACCCTACGTGAATAACAAAACCTCACGGACGCAGTACACAGTACTTGTCTCGTTTGGGAAGATTGCCAGATCGTTTCACTTGTGTTCTCATGCTCGTTTGCGTGCTGCTGCTGCTGCCGCTGCTGCCGTTGCTCCGCCCCCCCCCCGCACCCGTGTTGTCTTGCCGTTCGGGCGATTGCAGTATCTGGCTCTTGACAAAACATCTGTACATGCGGCCCGGGACTACCTTGCTCCTTCACGGCGATCTTGGCTGCACTGTGAGTACCAAAGAGTTTCCCCTGTAACAGAAGCAGCAAGCTTGATTGTTCTTTGTCCTCTCTCAAACAGAGTAAGCAACGATTATTGTCGTGTTTCGTACAGATGTTGAACCACAACATCTTAAACCACGAGGATCGTAAGGCTATGCATGTTGGTTCACAGCCCTTGCGACTTGTGCGGGCTGTGGGTTTCACAAGTGTCCGACGAGGCTTTAGTGACGGCACAAGCTCCTCCCTCTTCCCACCACCTCGACGTGGTCACACGATGCGCGCATGAAATGCTTATCCTTGCTTTCGTTCCTCACCTCTTCGTCCTGATCGCCAGCCGTCGAAGGCACAAACTCTCGGCTGAAATGCGGTCTGCTGAATTCGGAGATTGTGTAGGTGATTCGTCGGAGATTCCGAAACAGTCTCTGATGAATTTACAGTCCTGCCTTCTTTTGGGCCGCGTCCCGGCTGTCGAATTATTTTCCCTCTCATCCTGCTATATCCGCCACGCCCCACGTCCTAGGAACTGCGGATAGCCTCGAGTTCCACGAACGCGCTTCACCTTAACACCTTCGGAGGCTATATTTCCATCCTCAACACCAAGGTCAGTACCATCATGTTTATGCATACGACGAACGACAATGGTGGATAGTGTCGACGCCACGTCGCTCCTGTGATCATAAAACCAGAACCAATGGATGGGGGGGGGAGCCTATGTTTGGTCTTTCTTGTTTGGCGTTATGCCTGTGCGGTCCTGTTAGTACTCCCGGTCTTGTCTTCCCACGGAACAGCCTTTGGTGCTTTTTTTACAATCAATCAGCTTGCAAACATATTGGCGTTACCTGTTTTTGCACTGTCAGGTTCCCAGGTCTATCCGTGTACCCCCTGTAGTTTTGGTGCCGCTGTTGTTGCCTTCACGTTTTTTTGTGGCAGCTTTCTCTGCTGCTGCTGGTGATGATGTTGACGTTGTTGTTAACTTGTTGCGCTCGTTGTTGCTGCTGCCGCTGCCACTCTTTGTGCTGGTATCGTTGTTTCTGTTCCTGATATTGACGATTCGGTTGTTGATAATGATTGTGTCGCTGGTGCTGCAGGTAACCTCTTGGAGCGTTAGCGACAAGGAACCCGACGCCGGTGCGTATGACGGAAGCAATCCAAGGTCGTACATATCGGCGGTGAGCGAGATGACTCACCCCTCCGACACGTGCGATGGCGCAGCGGACGACGACGCAGGGGAAGCGAGGTTGGACAGTGAGTTCTTGCTGTGGCGGTTTTCGTTTGTGTCATTTGTTGTTGCTGCTGTTGTCGTTGCTTTTTTTTTTTTTTCAGTCGTGTTGTTCTTGTTCTTGTTCTTGTTCTTGTTCTTGTTCTTGTTCTTGTTGCTGTTGTTCTTGTTGTTTTGTTACTGTGCCGGTCCGGCTGCCCCGTGTGTATGTATGGTCTAGTAGTCGGCGCTCTCCCATCAACAATTTTTTTTTTCTGCAGACGTGATGCATGGCGCACAACGCCCGTGTGCGTACCGTGCCCCTGCTAGTGTGGTGGCATCCTTACCCTTGTCTGGCTGTCTCTCTCTCTCTCTCTCTCTCTCTCTCTCTCTCTC